ATCGGGAGTCTCCACACACACACACACACACACACACACACACACACACATAATGTTCGTATTTAGTCTCCTGATTTTAAATGGAAATTAAATCATTTGAGTGTTCCCAAAGCACCAGTGTGTACAGTTTATACTGTAGAAACTATGTCCAGGACAAGGTATTTGGAAGTTTTGGAGGATTCATAGCTAACCACACTGAAGATTATGGTTTATCTCATATTTTTAAGCCTCAATTTGTCCCATTTCCATAGCCCCACCAAAAATATTTTCCACCACCCGTCACTGCTCCAAACACAATACTTTATGGCTTTGTGAAGACTGGCAAACGAGTTGACAAGAACTACAACATATGATCATGTTTCACCCTTTAGCTGCTTTAGACTGGCTAACTTTAAATATCTCCTTAGTCCGTTCTCCTAAGTTGTTTTTCCTCGATCAACTGACAAAAAATGGGTTAAGCCCCCCCTAAAGCAATTGTGTAATTCTTGATATTGGGCGGTGAAATACAGTAGGTGAAAAACACTTTCACCACATAATGCATGCTAGTTAATTGTGTGGGTCACCTGAACTTGAAAAGTCATAACCTTTACAAACAAACATGCAGTACCTGTAGCTCAAAGAGGCCGTTCATCAGCGCCTTCCCAGAGCGGGTCACCTCCTCAAGGAGGTTCTCTCTGCGGATCACATTGAGAACCTCAGACAGGATCAGATTCTTGGAAGGGTCGCCCATCCATGTATTAAAGATACGGTATGGCTGAAAAGAGATAACAGATACAGAAGAAAAACTCCAGTTAATGAAAAATGACCAATGATCCTATAAACAGCTTTGAATATCTAAACGTGACAAAAACACAAGGTTCTAAAAACATCCAAAACGTACATTTTATGTGTGCTGTTTTTTAGCAGTGTGCAAAAAGAAACAATAATTGTCCAGACTGTGATGGACAGACACCTACAGCTAAACAAATGCTATTCATTCATTCATTAGTAGTTTACATCACAGGGTTGACCAATTGTGAGCCCATGAATGCTACACACAGACTGCATTGTATTCAGAAATATGTCAATTAGATTGAATAAAATTTAGACAGTTTCCTGTTTCACTTCCCTGTGATCCTCTGACCATCCTCTCTGGTGTAAACTAAGGAACTACAGTCGTGACTGGATAGCTGTGGATAATTTATGTAAAACACTGACTCAGCACATTCAGGCTCCTTCGATGATTAACCCTTTGTTTTTATAAATGACCCCCCAGGGACCTTAGCACCCTGAGCACCAACTTGACATGTTTAGCCTCAAAAGTGGAGAAACTCCAAGATTAGCTGGATCATCAAGAGGTTTGTCCGACAGATTCATGGTGAATAATTCATCCTCAGGGGTCTCAAGTGTAGAGAGGAGAATGAAGGGCTTGGATATAATCTTTCCCAGTATTATAAACTACAAGTATACAAATATAACGATTTCTCCCCCTCCTCTCTCCTCAGTGGGATCATTTACAAAAAGGCACTGCCCTTGAGGTGACTCATTGAGTTCTCCCTGCTGCCCCCCCCTTCCCCCTTTCAACAAAGCTTAAGTCTGTTTTACTTAATCAGACCTGAATCACAGAATATAAAACCTCTTTAATATGTGGTCTGAATGTCCCTGGAGAACAAAAAAACACAAACCTCATCCGCCTGGAACTCATCCTTGTGGTAGTAGCCCCCCGTCAGAAGCTTCTTACTGAAGGACACAATGTCAGCTGGGTCCTCCATGCCCCAATGCTCATGGGCCCACATCTTCCCTGTGGTCCCCCCCCCTGTCTGCACTTCATCCACGTGGAAAGCACAGCCATGCTAGAGAGACAGAAGGTGAACAGACACCGTGAACTGTGACTGACTGTGGTGAAGGCCCCGTGACCTCTAAATACATTTAATACTCATTATTACACGGCTTGGCTAAATACTCGATTCTGATTTGGACATTTCAGAGGTTCTTAATACTTGATAGCAGACTCAGCAAAATAATGACCGCCGCTAAGGACGATCAATGACCAGGAAATAAGGAAATAAGTTAAAAGACAGAGCGTTGGACTTCAGAGAAATCGCTAGAGGAAGACAGACAGGAAGTAAACACTAACGGGAACACCAGAAGAAGACAGACAGGAAGTAAACACTAACGGGAACAGCGGAGGAAGACAGACAGGAAGTAAACACTAACGGGAACAGCAGAAGAAGACAGACAGGAAGTAAACACTAACACAGGAACAGCAGAAGGAGACAGACAGGAAATAACCACCAACAGGAACACAGGGGCTGCATCTCAGGTCGGTTATTTTCATTTCCTCGCTCCTCGCTCCTCTGCATCACCGGAAGTTGATTTGTCTGCGCCATCTTGAGTAGCGTCCCATTATTTCTGCCGGAGGACCGAGGATCAAGGGTCGAGGAGTGATAACGGAGGAGCGATAATCGAGGAACCACCAGACCATCCTCAGGTGAAATCCTCAGACACTCGCCCCGCCCCCTTACTGTGTATCGCTCACTGATTGGACGATGCAGTGCATGCACTGATCTGATGCTTCTTGACATGAGAGCAGTTTCCCAGCGGAGTGAAGAAAACACATGAACCTCAC